TGAGTTCCCCGCCTTGGCAGACTTGAATGTTTAAATATTCCTTATCGCCCAGATACGTATCCGGCCAATTTGGAGAACCTTAATATGCCATCGTACTAGAATTTTTGGTATTTTAAGTATCCATGGAAACTGTGTAAATAGATCACTGAGGATTCACGTTCAACCGTTTGTTCCACGGTCATGACACATTCAGTAGTTGCGAATGACTTAACAAGCGTAAAAGTATTGCCCATTAGTTAATTTCCGGTGGCCGGTGGGACTCTCTGGGACTCTTTTAACTTCCGATATAATTCCACGGGATGTACAGCTGAGCGGCTAATCGTACTCCCACAACGACCGAACAACAACAGATCATGGTGACGTGCTGGTATAGATTTGTTTTCCTATTTCGTTAGACTGAGGGACCGGACTTGGCATGGTTATAGAAACAATCGCAGTTCAGAAAATTGGACGGTGTACGCAACTCAGGCGTAACATTCACTGCGGAAACGGTACTGAAAATGCCATTACCCTCCTACACACATATCCCTTGGAGTGGACAATAGCCACCCCAAAAGCACTAAAGGTAACAATCACGCACCTAGCCGGATTATTTCAGCCATCTCTGGACTGCAACATAGCTCGGTCAAAGTGGAAACAAGGTTTCATCAAACCTATTCACAAGGGAGCAAGTCGGTACCAGCCTGCCAATAACCGCCCGGTCATCTTCTTCCGGTGTTCGCCACAGTTATGGAAGAAATTCTGGCCGACGCATTGACGGGCTATTTGGAATGCCATGGTATGTTTATCTACGATCTAGCCAGTGTTATCACCCTAACCCTGTCCGCCAACGAGACCTTTCGGCGCTGAGGCCCATCTATAGGTACAACGATTTCTTCCGTGTACGCTGCTCACGTTAACGTCTTGTTCTCTTCAGGCAACTCCCACGATATTAAAGTGTTTCAACCGCGGGTTCCATGGATATAAAATTATTCAAAACTAAGCAATACATCAATTGCATCAGAATTAACGTAACAGTGGACTGCGAGATCAACTTATGAGAGCAACATAGAATAGCAGACAAAGATAGAAAGTGACAATCAATTAAGTATGGTGAATATTTTAATCCGTATGACTGGTTACAAATAAACTGTTAAGGTTGCGCCTTATCAAGTCTTGCATTTTTCGACAGACCTACAAATTGCTAATGGTTCGATAAGCGTTCATCTCATTGTCTCCAACGATCACTTCTTCCTTCCGAAATGAAGACGAACTGATAAGCCATCGAATTACTTTTGTTGTCAAGTTAACCTGGTTTTTCCAGTTCAGCATTCTGCAATGTTCTCATCTTAGTCTAAAACCTGACCAGCAATGGTTTGCGAGGACATGCGTCAAACCGACAAGTAGTGAAGCATATTTGAATGGTGGATGCTACCAAACCCACAATGCGACCCGCAATCTCAATGTGGAACATGATTCGCACAGATTTGAAGCAGACAAGTAAATGCGAATCGTTAGGTATAGCATGTGAAGCACCGCCAATTACCAATGAATATCTTGCGAGCATCTACTATGCCGAAATTCTTCTGTCAAAAGGGGCAGGGCCTACACAAATCAAACTCTGTACCGCCTCCTAAATATTTGTGAATAAGGAATTGAAATGCACCACAAGTGCCGACGCATGGTCCCTCCTGGAAGTCAGGGACTGCCCGGCTGAACCCTTTAACATTGCTCCGTCATCTGTACTCCTCAAGTGCAGCGTCACTTAATGAATGATCCTCTTGTGGGTCGTCTTCGTTGTGGCTGGGATTTTTGAACACTGGTGCTGTTGCGTGAAATCAGCCATGATTATGACACCACGTAATCGGCGGCAGAACCCATCGGACTGTATTTATTCCTTAGTACAAGTCAATGTCTAATGAAATAAAATATACTTGTCGAACCATTTTAGTTTCATTAGTGCAACCATCTGATAATTGAGGGTTACGGATCTTGCGCACAATCGTTTTCCATACTCCTTTAGGATTGCCTATATTGCTTCGATAGATGAATCTTGCTGTAGTGACCAGTCCACTTGATTTGTAGCTCAGGTAAGTTCATGGAAGCCAGTTTACAGTATTCCTAGGATGACTGCTATGGAAGCGAGTGTGACAGCAGCAGCTTTCGCCAAGCTAGGGCCACTGGATGTTCACTTGGTATTACTGGATTCATGCCTCACACTCCACGACAAGTTGTTAGCAGCTCGTCAACTTCAAATTCATACATGAGGGATCTGATTGCGGTTTGGTGCGAGTCCACCAGCATACGTGTAGTGCTGCCCCAATCTCAGATATCATCTCCGCACTCTCTGCTTCCAGATCACTAGGCCTGTAGGGAATTTGAACCCTTGTTCTATTTCTTTGACGTGTCAAAAGGACGTATGAGCTGAAAGCGATTACGGTTCATTTTGTCTTGGGTATTTTGCAACTAGTGCAAACGGCAGCTTCACATAAAAAAGTAAATCTCACCCACCCACATTTCGCCAACACTCAGGTGGATCGAGCTTTAGGGCACACGTAGAACATCCGCATTTCTTTTGGTAGCAGCAGTCTAACGAAATAGGAAAACAAATCTATACCAGCACGTCACCATGATCTGTTGTTGTTCGGTCGTTGTGGGAGTACGATTAGCCGCTCAGCTGTACATCCCGTGGAATTATATCGGAAGTTAAAAGAGTCCCAGAGAGTCCCACCGGCCACCGGAAATTAACTAATGGGCAATACTTTTACGCTTGTTAAGTCATTCGCAACTACTGAATGTGTCATGACCGTGGAACAAACGGTTGAACGTGAATCCTCAGTGATCTATTTACACAGTTTCCATGGATACTTAAAATACCAAAAATTCTAGTACGATGGCATATTAAGGTTTTCCAAATTGGCCGGATACGTATCTGGGCGATAAGGAATATTTAAACATTCAAGTCTGCCAAGGCGGGGAACTCAAGTCAAGTCAATAAAATGCTTAATACACCAACAACGCTTGAATATTCAGCCGTAAACAGACTGGCTTCATCAAATAAATGCATCGTACGCGCTGGATTCTTCCATCACCTTTCTTTCTAAAATGGGTGATTAGATTTGACCTAAACGCTTCTTTATCTACTTTAGGATTCTTTTACCATACCAATACTGTAAAATTCCTTCTCGTGCTCATTGCGAAACTGATTTTGATTTAATTCTCCAAGCTGATGGAATAAAATGAGATTTGATAAAATCTGTTCAAAAGGCACTGCACTCGGCTTTCTTTTTATTTCTGTATTCTGCTGGAATTAACTCCTTAGGCGGCCGCGCATTTGCAAATAGATCCGATGAGCCTCCAGTAGCTGGTAGACATTGTTCCGGACTCATTTATGCAGAAGTAGCATCTCATATTTTCACCGCCTAATTGTTACGAATTCTTATTTTGCTAAGGTGGTTTATGTGAAGGTAACATTCAGTCTACAACAGCGTTGTCACTAACCCTTCTATCATTTGCTGGGATAACATTAAGCAACTGTCGAAGCGCCATCAACATTTGAACACGGTAGCCAGTGCATTATGCACTGCTGTCGAGATGTTGCAAACCACCAGCCAAAAACGTCGGCATCGACCCAATCTGAGCTGGCCTTTGTCGAAATCGACGAGGGTCATTAACATATTTCAAGGACACATGCACCGCAATGCGTCCTCACGTCGTATTCACACCCCCAGACATGCGTGGATGAGTAAATACAGTAGACGTACATGCCATTGGTGGGTCGGCAAATTAGTGCGTTCCAATCTACCCCTGACCAGCGCGGCGACTGAGCAAAAACGAAAGACTCTTCTCAAATGCACTGTAGAGTTCATATACATGAAATCACCTTGTCCATGAGGTCAATTGTAAATGTTACTTCACGTGCAATTAAAACACTTAGAATACCATCACGGTGTGTGTTATTCCCTGGCCGAACGCCCACGTTTCACAGCAACCTACCTTTTCCGATTGGTCATGTGTCAGCCTGTTAAAACTGCAGTACATTGGGACGCGGTTATTTTGCGTGAACTTGATGCTCAGCTTGCTGGCTGCCTTGGATTGTTGTCGCTGTTTGATACGCCTGTGCCGGAAGCACAGTTTATTGTGGTATTGTACATTGTTGTTTTTGATTATTTGTAATAGTACCGTATACCAGTTCCGGTCTTGTTCACTCAAGACTTCCAAGCGAATTGCGCTTACACTGAGTAAGTTGCGTTTGCTTGGACACGCACTACGTGTGTCCGGTCACCGCTTACCTAGAAGCACCTTGTTTAGTCTGCCAGTTGTAAGGTGGCACAAGGCTCGAGGTGGACGGAAGTTGACTTGGCAGCAACAAATGAAAGCTCACCTTCCAGGCTGGAGTCCAGGTAACCCGTCTTTTGTTTGGCTTGAGCCTTTATAGGACATGACTCGCAGTCGGCATCCATGGCTTATCTGCTGCCGTATTTTAATCGGACTGCCTGTTTAACATATGTTTGTTGTTGGGTTATCTGCAGAGTATTGGCTGATTGTGACCTAGGGCAGTGAAAACTGCAAGGAAGCTGTCTCGCTGATGTCGTTGGTAGTCGGCGGTTTGTGACCATATGTTGTTGACAAGGTGAATGGGCCTTGAAAGTGAATGTTTGCTTAGGGCATTAAGGTTTTCCGGTAGATTCCCTTCCTCTCCCTCTTACTTTTCTTAGGTCATTGGTTTTGTATGGCTTCGAGGCACCAATTCAAATGACCGATGTACTACTGTTGTTCCTTTTGTTGTTGTTGTTGTTGTTGTTGTTGATGATGATGATGATTATGATGCTGCTGCTGCTGCTGCTGCTGCTGCTGCTGATGATGATGATGATGATGATGGCTGGTATAAACAGGCGTTCATTACCTTCTACCCACTTCCTCTTTTTGGCCTTTGTCTTTGACACCCCGTATTTTACATGATATGTCGATAAGCTTCTGGCTCATTTTTCTAATCCACATTACCCATTCAATCGTTCTAGATCTATTTCGGCGCTCGGGAGGATCCGATCATCTCGGATGTTCATGGCTACTACCAGCCTGGTTTTCTCAAACCAGGTACCTATCTTATTCGTGTAAGCCACGATTTTTGTCGCATTTTGTTCAAGCTGCGGCGATGCAGCCGGAATATGCGATTTTAGATGTGACTGCTTACTGTTGCTATAGTCAACTCCTTGAACTCAGAACAGACAGATGACACAAACCAACGCCACCATCTTTTGTATCGGTTTTTACACTTTTTTGTAGTGTCAACATTTGCTACCCAACTTAGCACATTATCGTAAAATAGCAGCCACCGAGCTAGATTCTGATCATTTTCGTTCATTTGGTCGTGTATTCTGCGCCGACCGGTTGTCGGACCGAAAGCTCATCTAGTACATATTAGCACCTGTCCAGCTGTCCCACAAACTGTTTTCGACCCTTTATCCCCACGCGTTACTAATATGCTAATTGGTTAGTGTATTCACCACACATTAACTTCGTGGCCGGGTCAGAAAATCACATCGCGTTGTAGCTTGCTTTTCAGGTAACTGGCGTTTTAGTCTCACCTCTTATTACTATTTCCCTGTGCGGTCGTGTGTCGGTTTCAGCGTTGTCTTTCCCGTGCCTTGTTGTATTTTTATCTACGCGTCTTTTCGTCTTCTTTTACTTTTAATCCCGATACTTTTAGCTGCTATTATGAGGAGGTATATTTCCAGGTCATGCGGGACCCGACCCGGTAAACTTGTTCCGATCGTTATGTACGGATTTCATTCCGAACTAAGTGCGAACAGGTTCTGTAAGTGCGAGAAATTTTGCCACCGTTAGCTCCAAGATCACAGCCATATCTTTTCTTCTAATGTGCACGGTGCATTGATGGTAGTGCTTTCGTCGAAAATTCGTGGACCCCTAGCCCTAAGGATCACAAGCTTGCCTTGTAATCTGAGGGCGCAGATTCGAGCCTGCGTAGGGGCCGGGCGACCCTCGCAGTATCCTCAGCGCACGTGCCACCGTTGGTGCCTGCGCGGCAACAAAGCCTCGGTACTGCGTACTGGCGTACTGCTGGTGTTTTTCGTGGCGTGTTGCAGTCCTGAAAATCGTAAAGGGGAAGAAAGTAATTAGTATAAGCGGATTGTAGACCAAACGGCGCTCAGAGTATAACAAAGAAAGACGCGAACTTGCAAATACGGGTTTCTACATTATGTTGCCATGAGTTGTAGGATTCATATACACAGAGCGCAAAGCGTTATCTATTTAGTATGTTGGAGAAGCTTCAGTACATATATCCAGGGGCTGACCTGCGGCGAATGTTTCATCAATCGCTCTTTGAGGTTATGTCGGGAACGGCATTTTAACTAGTTGGCGCATTTCAGATCATTGAAAATAAATGGGCGTTATAATAATAACAACAGTAATAGAAACGAGGTCGCAACACTACCCTGATGGAACTTGAGCATGATGGGTAATGATGCTTTCAGAGGGTCAATGAAAAGGTAAGCGAATTGTTAAACTTTGCCTGATAGCTCATCCTAACAATGCGTTGGTGATTTTACCAACGAATGGTTAGCGATGAAGCCAAGCAAAACGGAAGCGAAATATTGACTTCCAAGATGGGTTGGAGTATTATTGGCTGGACGTGCGTGTCCGACTTGCCCATGCGTCAGTGGTTCCACTAGCGGATTTAAAATGTACAATTAGGTAGAATTGAAGGGGAGTTATGAAGGATGATATAAGTACTTAACTTTGCGGGTACAGGCAACCGATTTGCTAATATTTCCACTAGCATATGGTAGCAAAGGGGGTAAATAAAGCCAGTGTAATGTATCTTAAGGATCAAAGTGGGCTGTAGAGGTGAAACCTGTCCGGTGAAAGTAAAATCTCTAGGGAAGGACCATTATTTCAATGGGAAATTCATTTGAGCCATTGATGCACATCCGAAGTATCAAATCTCTTCAGGAACGTTCGCGCCCACCACATGACGTGCGTACCTTCTCATTGGCTGGCACAACTGAGCTATCAATCAGGGCAGCTAACAGCTTTTCTGACCGATAAATGTCCGGGGATTTTACCCTACTCGCACCCGTTTTCAGTAGTTGCTTCTGCAATGCGCTTCCGCTTTCTGGCATTGGCTTCTATAATAAGAGTGGAAATTGGTAGTTCAGGTTGCTCTGGTAGCAGTCAAACTGTTCGCTGAGCATGATAAGTTTGTTACAAACGTTTCGTCACCAATCGAGGTGACATCATCAGTGCGTTGTTGAGTAGCATGTAGCAGGTGGCGCGCCTTGGCTACTGTGTGCGCTTGGAGGCTTGCCTAGACCTTAAACTGCCATTTGCCGTTTTTCGCTTTGATCACTAGTTGGTGTGCCTTCAGTAGCTTCAGCGCGCTCCCTCTACCGGTTGCCGCCCTGTTTCAGAAGTTTGACTTTTTTGAATACAGTAGTATGTTTCCGGGAGTCTTCTCAGAAACTTGAAGCATTGGGTTCCCTGTATCAGTCTAAATAACACAATGAGAAGACGGTGTTGCACGACGATATCATTTCGCGCTTTCTGATCACATGCAAACAAGTGATGGTGTTTATTAGGTTTCGCAGTCGCACGACGGAAGGGAACAAACAAAAGCCCCTACAGTGTCAAAAATGTCCCTTCTATCTCCAATTGCCATTCGAAGTCAAGTCAAGTCAGTGTAAGCTTTATTCACCACCCCCTATGGGTGCATTTTCAGCATTGTCGCACCAACACTACGGATTATTAGACAACAAAGCATCAATGAGCAATAACGATCAACAGCAGCGAACGCAACTTTGCATCTTCATTCAAGCATGCGGTCAAAAAAGTAATGTTTCACTCATGTTTGTTTGATTAGGAAGCATGATAGAAAAGGCAGGATGGAGTTACGATACGACGAGGTACGAGAATATAAAGCGTTCAATTTTGTCCGTGTGGACGAAGTGGATATAATGCTGGCTAGAATAGCGTGTAAAGAGTGTGAGGAGTCATTTACAATTTTGTATGAAAATTTAATGCTTGCACGGAAATGTTTGTTAACAAAGAGATCTATTAGTGTTTCTTTCTTTAAATCGGAGAGACGGGAAATACATTTTAACGAACGAACAAGAGGTACATAATCTTTTTGAAGCAGACCTAGGAATATAATTGGCGCACATGCAGTCACAAACCGTAGAATTAACCCACAGGTAACGGAAAGCATTTCAAGTCTAAGGATGTAAAAGAAGAACCTTCTAACTTTTAGATGTTGCAATAGTATGTATAGACCAAGCTAAATTGTGAGATAGCAAAGCTCCCAGATGTTTTACGGTAGATGTGCAAGGTATGCTTCGGTCATCTACAATCATTAGAGGAGTGATATGTACAAGGGACTGTAGTCTGTTGGGATACCGAAAACATAACCTTACGTCACAACACTTAGAAGGGTTGAGGGAGAGCGACCGAGGGCTAGACCAGTTCACTAGTTCGTCTGATCCCCGTTGGAGTTTCAAGGAGTCTTTGATGATTGAGGCTATACATCCCAGAATGACGTCCCCAGTATATTTACAGTCTGTGAAGTTTAATGGAATAGCGAGACCTTCAACGTAGGCAGTGCATAGAAAGGAGGACAGGATGGCTCCCTGCAAAACGCCACAATTGGCTGGGAGTACAGAAAACCGTTTGCCGCACAGCAGAGTGAAGTGTGTGCGATTTTTGAACTAAGCACGCATCACACTATATACACACGGAGGGACGCCGTTCTCGACCAAACTGTTGGGCAGTAGTAACCTATTGTTGCTCCCAAAAGCGTTGGTCTAATCAAGAAATAGGAGCTGTACGCTCTTACGTTTATTGTCCGAGGCTAGCACAATGCAGTGTACCAGATAAGAAATAGCATCTAGTGTAGAGCACCCTGGTTTATATGCAAACTGACACCATCAATATGATTGCCTGTGAAAATGTGGAGAATCAGCAGTTTTTCATCATCTTAAGCAGCAAGGACGTGCATGCAATTGGCCGACATTTCTGAGATCCTTTTTTAAGCACTGATGTTATTCTGGCTGCTTTCCAAATCTCGTTAAACACCGATTCAAGACTTCTGTCACAGGTGTTGCTAAAACATCTGCGCATTCTTTCAGAGCGACTGATGATAGTCCATCCGGTCCACTAGCATTGTTTGGCTTCAGCCTTTTGAGCTCTTTGTAAATGCTTGCGGAAGAAGATAAAGTAGGATTCTCAGTAGTAGTGAAAGAAGGTAGAGGGTGATGTGGCTACGCAAGTCGAGCGGCGTGTTACCGCACTAATCCATCGTACATTTAATGCTAATAATAATAGTATATCAACTGTGCGCCGTAACGGCGCTTCGCTGCCGCGCGACCACCACCACCAGTGTTACCAACGCCTCGGTTTTAGCTTACGCAATCGGTCTCTGCCAAAACATATTACATTTACAAATTTGTTTGTAGCTGTAGAATCAGTTACATCGGCAGAACAGACCGGTGAGCACATCCCGAAATGGGTTGCTACAATTGTGGCAAAACAATCGCACGGACAAGTATCAAGAGTCAAATTGACGGCTTCGTCGATAGCCAGACATCTACTTAGAACGAGGCACCAAATTGATTCTAACTTAGCTTTTAAGATTATCTACTATAATGAAAATGCCAAGATACTCAAGCTCGCGGAGGCTGTGGCAATTAATCACAGCCGTCCGGACCTATGTGTGCAAAAGCAGCTGACTGTCACCCTCAAGCTTCTTCCTTGGGGATAGTGACACTTGTCACAAATGTTGTGATTCTGTTGGAATTTACGGCATTATGTTTCTTCCATTCCTATTCCGACATTATTCAAATTAATGATTTTCCCATTTCGTGATGGTTGAATGTCGCTTGTTTGCATGGGATCAGCAGGCATAAAATGATCCCATCGTGTAACACCCTTCTCATTGTGTTATTTAGACATAGTATGTATCTTAAAGGTACCCTGGTGAAGTATGGATAAAGTACAAACCTGATTACTAGTTCCCAGGGGTTAGTCGTAATTAATAATATCTACGAAATCGAGTGACTTATGGAAATGGTCCAAAAATAGATTGCGTTTGGGCGTCTAG